GCTCTTCCTTTGCCAAAACCATATGGTGCTTTGGCGCCTTTTAAGCCCAGTGAACCTGGAGCCAATATGAGGCACATTAGGAAACCTGTCATAAAGTCAATTGAAATCTAAATGCGCAAGCCTTATCCAGGCTTCTCAAGGAGAGGACTTCAGCCAGGCTTCCCTGGCCCATAGCTGGAAAATATGAGCATAACAGTTCTAAAATTACAGGTAAATAAGTTTCCCACAATTAATCAACAATGGAGTATAAATGGATTCTGTTTGAACCAAAAACAACTATATGTTTTGAGTAAAACATAGAATCATCCTACATTTATTTAAAAGCATGTATTTGAATTGGTCATTTATTTCTCTTTCATTATTTATGATAACTCCATTTCAGGAATTTATAGTAGGCATAATGCTGGAAAAACGAAATAAAAATAAATCAATTTTAATGAAGTATAGAAATTGGCAGAGTAGTCTTTGTTTCTTATAGAAAACAGATACTATTCCATATACACACTTTAAATAGAATGACTATTTGAAAAGCAAAATGTCCCAAGTATTAGCAAGACATAACTCATTCCATTAAATAAGTTACAGTTGAAGTTAAGTTTGGTGTCCCAGTCTGTTACTGTGTTACTTACAGAAATACCCAAGACTGGGTGATGTATAAAGAATGGGGGTTTATTTGACTCACCATTACAGTGGCTGGAACATCCAAAGGCATCTGGCATCAGGCTGTCAACAACATGGGTGACAGAAGCAGAGAAGTTGGAAAGCATGTGTAGAGAGATTGGGGTCTGTGTTCCATGTTGGTCTCTAATTTCTTCTCCTTATAAACCTACCAAGACTCAATCATGGGGCCCCACTCTAATCACCCGACCACTAATCTCTTCCCCAAGTCTCTACCCTTCCACACAGTAAATTGTGTTTTTGCCTTCTTAATCCCATAACAATGGCTCAACATGTGAATTTTTGGGGGCACATACTTAAACCATAGCAGTTGGTAAATCTAAATAATGGAAAAGGCAGTTGTAAAGATCATCTGACCTTAAGGACCAAGCAGATAGTGTAACAGTTACATCACTGAACTCCCACATAGCCAATCATGGTTTGAGTTCTGGACCTGGCAGCTTGAAACTCACACTGGGCACATGTGCATGTATGCCCAAAATCTCGAGAGACTAGAGGAGGAATTGTGGTATGACTGTACCCCGGGGGAGTGATTTCTCACTTTCTATCTCTCTGTCTCTCTGGCAAGCACACGAGCCCTATAGCAAAAACTCAAAAAAAAAAAAAAAAAAAAAGGATCATCTTACCTAAAGAACTGGTATAGTGTTGCTATAAGAATGCTTTTACTACAAAAATAATTATACCCTAATTTATCTTTTTTTTAAATCCACATTTTTCACAATATTACTTACAAATAAATTCATGATTATTTTAAGTTCTAATACCAGATTTTGTAAAGTCACAAGAACATAACTTTACAGATAAGAGGGAAAAAATTGAAAATGAGGGACCTGGAGTTGGCATAATGGCTAACGTCACTGAACTTCCACGTAGCCGAACCACGGTTTGAGTTCCAGACCCGTGGCTTAAACTCATGCCAGGCGTGTATGTGTGCATGCCCAAGATCCTGAGAGGAGAATGGAGAAGGGATTGTGGCGTGGCCATCCCCGGGAGAGTGATTTTTCACTTTCTGTCTCTCTGTCTCTGTCTTTCTGGCAAGTACACGTGGCCTACAGGAAGAAAAAACAAAAAACAAAACAAACAAAAAAAACCTCTAAAAGAAAATTGGAAAATGAGGCCAGCTTCAATTATGTTATTACTCTCTAATTTTACATTTTACTGCATTTCACCCAAGTGTCTTTTCCTAATTCTGATTTATTTTTTTTAATGAGAATATACAAGTAGGTTTGAAACCTGTGATTACACATTTTTTTAACATGCTGAGAATGTATTTCATAATGGTAGTGGTCATGAATTTTATTTCATAACTCAGAATAAAAAATACTACATCTGTTTATTTTACTAATTCAATCTTTTCAAGCCCCCATCCTGCCAAATTAAAAGGAAATTTAATCTCAGCCTATGAGCCCTTAATCTAGCCTGATCATTCTGTGAAGTTGTAAAGTGGTTAACTTGAGAGTTCATTTGATAAGTAAAACTGTCTAAGCCATGTGGTTAATACAAAGAAATACTGCATACTAAAAAATAGTTCTTGGAGGGGCCAGCAGGTGGCATGGTGATCAAGGCACTGGATACTCCCATATGGCCCACCATGGTTCAAGTCCCAGACCTGGTGGCTTACTTTCTCACTTTCTTTCTGTGCCTCTCTCTGATCAAATTAAAATAAATAAATGAATTTTTTAAAAAATAGGTCTTGGAGGAACCAGGAACTGAATCACTGCTCTAAACCCCATCTTCCAGACCCAAAAAAGCTCAAAAAGAAGCCATTTAAATCTGAGGTGTGTCCTGCCATGTTCAGGGACCAAGGCAGCTAAATCTCTGCTCTAAACCCCATCTTCCAGACCCCAAAAGAGCTCAGACAGGTAGGGCAACTTCATCTTCTTTCTCTGTCACTCTAATTTTTTTTTTAATTTTTAAAACACTTCTTCTCACCTCTGATATCTCCTTTCTCTAGCTAATTTCAAAAGCCATTTAAATCTGAGGTGTGTACTGCTGTGTTCACACAATTTTCATTTTTTTATTTAAAAAAATTTTTCCTTTTTTGGTTGTTTCTGTCTTCTTTTCCCCTTTGTTTTCTTTTCCTTTTCTTCTTTTTTTTAACCTTATTTTCTCACTCTGCTTCTCAGCCTCCACACACTGAGTGTCTAGACAGGCCTTAGGTGCACAAAGCCAAGCCTCTGAATACTTTCAGGGTCACAGAAATCCTCAACCCTTACTGAACCTGTGCCTGAAGGAAGAAACTCCCCTTTATATATCTGAACTCAGAATCTCTTTCTGTGGATACCACATTGCAAAACACAGTAGAGGAGAGAAATTATCTCAGAAGTACCTTACAGTACAGAGAAGCACAGTTGCAGAAACCTTCTCTAAGCAATTAGCCAAAAGTGAATATACCACCAAATGACTAAAATTCAGAGAAGAGAAACTACAGAGTGAGCAGCAGGGAGAAGTACAGAACTACAAAGACCACAGCTCATCTCTTCCCACATGCCTCTGAACTCTCAACTGAAACCCCACAGCACAGCCCAGGCACACCTACTGCCTACAAACTGTGAGGCCTTTGTAATATCCAGTTTCAAAGTCAAAAGCACAGGTTGCTTGGTGAGTATCAGGGAAACAGAACTGCAGAGAGATTGCATATCTCTACACACCTCTGAATACTTAGAATTAACTCCAAGAAGTTAGGAAGAAACATAAAATCCATCAGATGACCAGAAACCACTATAGAGGCACAAGAAATATGAGAAACTGAGAAAATACCTCTCCCCCAAGGAAAAATAACCACCCATCGTCATCCACAGACAGTACAATGGAACTTGTGGAAATGTCTGATGAAGAATTCAGGGTATTCATAGTGACAAAACTAAATGAGATGCAAGAAATCAGAGAAAATGAACTCCAGAAGGTACAAGAGAAAAGAGATGAGTAATACAGGAAATCAAAACCTCCCTTGAAAGTATTAAAAGCAGATTATATCATACAGAAGATCAAATCCTGGATGTTGAAGACAAAACCTCTGAGCTAGAAAAAAATCACCAAAAAGACTGAGAAAATAACTCACAAAAATTAGAATATACAAGAAATACTAGATACCAGTAAGGCCCAAACATTCAGATAATCAGTATCCCAGAAGATAAAGAAACTAATAAGGGCATTGATAATCTATTCCATGAAATCCTGTAAGAAAACTTTCTGAACCTAAAGAGGCATTAGAATATCCAGACCCAAGAAATACAAAAGACTCCTAACAGAATCAACACAAGACCATCTTCTCCAAGGCACATCATAGCCAGATTGGTCAAATCCACAGACAAAGACAAGATACTATAATTGGCAAGAGAGAAACTTCAGGTTACTTACAAAGGTTATCCCATCAGGCCAACATTGGATCTCTCATCAGAAGCAATATGAACATGGAAAGAATGGGAAAATATATTCAAAATGTTAAATGAAAAACAATTTCAACCAAGAATACTGTACCCAGCAAGATTATCCCTCATATGGGAAGAAAAGATAAAAACATTCTCAGATAAACAAAATCTGAAAGAATTTACCAACACCAGACCAGCTCTCCAAGAAGTTTTGAAGGGAGTGCTTTATCAGGAAAACTAAATACACACAGACAGAAATAAGAGAACAAAAAGCAACCAAGAAAATGCCAGAGACAAATCCAGAAATATCAAAAATAACGTTAAATGTTAACTTCCAGGATTTAAACAGACAGATCAGATCACAGTAACATTGAAATTCAACAGGATAGAGATTAATTACATGAGACTGAACTGGTGAAATAAAATTTTATGATTTTGACTAAGACAGTACTGACTTTTTTACTATGCTTTGTTTTCCAAATTTAAGGATTTTTGCTTCCTTTTTAAAAATTTTTTTAATTTTATTTTTAAAATTAAAATTTATTTATTTACATTCATTCACTGTACGTCATTACAGCATATAAAATGAGATTTTCCATCCAGAATACACTGTATATTGGCTCAATCAAGCATATCAACATACATGTTATTGTCAACAAATAATTTTCCATTTCTTGTTTCCTGTATATTTTGCTTTTTTTCCATCCTTGATTCTCTGTCTCTCACCCTCTGGCATCTCCCACCCTCCTCCCACACTGTCTCTGGTATCCATGGTTGCTTTCTATGCCTTTTTTGCCCCACATTTTATTGATTTACTAAAGATCTTAATTCATCTAAATGTTTTTGATAGCAAGCACAGCTGATATATACATATCCATGGACACAAGTCTGACTTTAGGCATAAACCTCAGTGAGTAGAATAAACATACTATAAAGTACCACCTAGCTGGGGCTATATAGCTTACTAGAGTCATCAAATAGATATTTTTAATGCATTATTTTAATTTTGAGAAAAACAGTTTTAGGTTTTTTTTCCAAAACTTTTTTTAACTTAATTTACATTCATTCCCTAAGCATCATCACAGCATACAAAATGTGATTTCCAATCTAGAATATACTGCATAGTGGCTTAATCATGCATGTTATTGTCAATATTTTTCCATTTCTAGTTTCATATATATTTCTATTTCTGATCCTCTGTCCTTTACCACCCTC